TGACGGCACCGCATGTAGAAATCTTCTTTTTCCTTTTGACTTAATTTATCAATGTTCTGAAGTACGCGAACACCAAGGTATATCTGTTTCAAGTCAATGAACTGACAAGCATTGTTGGGATCGATTTTACCTATTTCGGTTTTATGAATATAATTTGGTTGTAAATAGCTTAAACAAATTTCTTTATAAGTTTCACAAACTACATCATAAACGTGTGTAATTATGACTACCGTAAGTAATGAAAGCCACCTAGTTTGTGAAGGACGTAAAATTTTGTGAGGCTCCACATTACAAAATGTCTGAAATTCTGTAAATTGTGCTTGCCGTTTGGACCTATTTTTAAAGTAACCAAAAATATTCCTGGCTAAATCTTCACAATGACGGGGCAAAACTTTACAAGCCTCACTGGCACAAAGATGTAAAGAGTGGCAGATGCATTTTTGAACTATAATGCCAAGAAGATTTAGTTTTAACCTACTTACTACTGAGTTATTGGCACCAAACATAGTGTGACAACCATCAGAACCAAATCCTATAATATTTTGGAAAGGTATATTGTTAGACTCAAATAAATCCATAATTTTTTTATAAAGAACTTCTACAGTCGCCCCTGTATTTGCTTCATCTGGATTTTGATTTGAAAAACATTGAACCAAATTTAAAAATTTTGTAGTTACCTCATTTGTTTTTTTACTAAAGTACCTAACACATACACATATATTTTTTACTACACCTATGTCTGTAGATTCATCTACTAAAATGCTAAACTTTTTTGCTTATAGTTTATTGATTAGTTCTTCAAAATGAGATTTGGCTAAAACATGTTTTATAACACCTGTTGCTTTGGTTCTTCCCATCTGCATTCCTTGGGCAATTTTCGAGTCAGGAAATATGTCTTTTAATAAAGGAATCAGATGATCACACAGCTTGATGGGTAGATTATGCTCTGATATTAATGCAGCAATTTTTATTTCTGCCCTACTCACTTGGCCACTAGCTTCGTTTTTATTAGAAAACATAGTAGACATTTTTGGTTGATTTTTCACAATCACCTTTACATTTTTTAAATGTTTAGCTCCCTTACTGTGATTTTTCAATACAGTTAAATCTGCTTGAATTTCACTATCACAAGCAATAATACATTTTGCTCGAGTGGGTTTTTCTAAAAACAAAAATGCATATCATTAAAAGTATAAAATGGTTTTATGTTATTTTTTCTACCTTTAACAGCTTTCAACCATCCTGTGAAATGATGATTGCTTTCGAATTCACATCTATATTTTTGTGGTCTATTTTCTCATCTGTTTACGTTTTTAAACTGCAATCTTTTTTCCTCCCTTTCTGAATCCGAAGAATCGGAGTAATCATGATGATCCCCTTTGCTGGTACTGGCCATTTTATTTCACTGTTTGATCACATCAACACACATTAATAAGGACTCATTCGATCAACTACTCTTGCTCGTATTGAAAAAGAAACAATGAGGATTAGGGTATTCCCCTGCGTAGGCTCAAATTCACCGAGACTCGAGTAATATTTACATAGATGGCGGTAGGCTTGATTTTTATTCTAATTCCATAACAACCATGCTATTAACTGAAAGAGGTCAGCACTAATAATTATTATCCTTTTTGTTACGTTACTTTGGTTGCATACAATTAGAACCAATAATTTTGAAAACATAGTTATAGGCTGGGAGATAGAAAAATAATATGTTACAATTATCGATTATGTTACATCTTTTTATTTACTGTATATTTCAGTAGAAAATATGGTACAATTTGATAATTATGTTACAAGTGGCAACACTGTGGTGGAGGGAGTTTAGTGCCGGTCGGAAGTCTACTAAGTATGCAGAACGGAGTGGACAACTGTCAGTCTAGAAGGCGGCTATCGAGATGGTCCAATGCGGAGTGCTTCAAAACAGGATACGGGTAAAGACAAACAGAGCTGTTTTGACCGACGCGTTTATCGAATTGGTGCCCGAGTCGTATGCTGTATAACATATCATTCGTAGTACAAAATACACACAGCGGTACGACGCGTTTCGTTTCATGCGGCGGTTTTAAAACAGCTTCGGTTTGTAGTTGATCTGAGGAATCGAGTCGGTTTAATTCAAGTGGCGCGTTGAGTCTTTCAGCGTCATTAAATTACTCTGTTCACACACGTACGTGCCTTGTCTCGTTTTGTATAAAAATGGAAGCACACAAAATTGATATTGAGAAGCTAATTTGCGAAGTAGAGAACCAACCGCCACTTTGGGATATTAGGAAAAAGGAATACAGCGATAGGGTTATGAGAAGAAAATGTTGGGAGGAACTAGTAAATTTGTTTGCAAAAGAAAACAACACAATTGACGAAAATAAGCAGTTAGGTAGGTATAATAATTGCTTATAATAAGAACAAATTTTTTATTGGCTATCTTTATTATAAAAACGGTTGTTTGTTCTACAAAATATTGAGCGTATTTATCTCTAGCAGATAATGCTAATGGATCTCCTCTGTGGGTTGTATCTGGTGCTAGACCTTCAAGATTGATATTTTCATCTAACTTCTCGTCATTCGACCGAGTGCCATCCCTTGTTCTTATAAAATTATGTAACACACAAGCAGCTTTAACTCCAGTTACAGTTACATCAATATCGAGGTTAATAGGTCGATGAAATATACGCCATTCGTTGGCTAGAATACCAAAACAGCATTCGATATATCTTCTGGCTCGTGTTAATCTAGCATTTAAAGTTTCCTTTAAAGGTGTCAGTTGTTAACTCCAAAAGGCCTAAGCAAATTTTCGGATAAGGGGAATGCTTCATCGCCAACTATTATGAAAGGATATTTTTCATTCGTATCGTCAATAGCACATGGTGCAGGGACTGCCAATGTACCATCAACTAATCGTTCATAAAGTTTAGAATTTCTGAATATGCCAGCATCACTTGATTTACCATATGATCCCACTTCAATATACGTGAAGCAATAATTGGCATCGCACATCGCAAACAGTACCGTAGAATATTACTGTTTATAATTGTAGTACATAGACCCACTATTGGGTGGCTGCTTAGTCCGAATATGTTTCCCGTCTATTGCTCTTATACATATACAGTTGGGAAACTGTGCATATGTTTGAAACCCTTTAGCAATTTCTATCCATTTCTCTGTTGAACATTGCGGTATAACTTTGTCTGCTAATTCAATCCATATTGCTTCTCATACTTCTTGGATAATGTTACTAGCAGTAGATCTACCAATACGAAAATTATAATGTAATTCGGCCAAAGAACAGCCCGTAGCCAAATATCTAAAATGAAAAAATGCAGTTAATTAAAACGTAATGTACGTAAATCTATTTTGCTACAGGTAATGAATTGCATAAAAAGTGGAAAAATATCCGAGACAACTTTTCAAGAGATATTCATCAAAGGAAAGGAAAGTCAGGGGCTGGAGCTTATCGGAAAGCTCCTTACGTTTATACACAGAGGTTACAATTTCAATTTCTCACAAATGTAATACTGCCCAGACAAACCACCAGTTCATTGGATAATGAATATTCATCCGAATTAGATACAAATAACCCTGAAACGCCCACTTTAATCTATAAAGAAAAGTATAATTCTAAAATTGACAAAAAAGGACACACCCGGTCGAAGAAAAAATATTACATTCACTTGAAAATTACGAAAAAAGAGCAAACAAGACGATGACTGAAGATGACAATTACCACTTTGCACTTTCCTTAGTACCTTCACTTATTGCACTGCCAAGACATTTAAATACAAAATGCAGGATTGAAATAATGCAGACTATTTCGAAATATGCAACCAGGACCGAAGCAAATCAGACATCAGATACACCACCACCTCCACATCAGCAAACGTCTTCCATAACCCATTATCCCAGTCAGTCAGGACTTGTACAACATCCACAAGAGCAGTATGGAGTATCTCAGAATGCCGCTTAACAACAGATAATCTCAACACTACCTCCAGCTCCTTCACCAGCTGAATCAGTTAGAAGCTATTATTCCCACTTTTCGGAAGACGATTCCCAGTTTAGTATATTTAATATGAATTGAATAAATATACTCTATAATGTATGAAAGATTGTGGAATAAATTTTTAATAAAATGAGAAACAGTTACCTAATTTATTTGCTTACCGGATAGTTATTACTAGTTTTTCTTCTGGGTTATCGCATTTCTCATACGTGTATCTTTCTTTGCTAGTTTTTCTCCACAAACTGCTAATAACTTGTAAAAAGTACTTCGCGACATCCTAGTAAAGTTGAAAAACTTTTCTTCATCTTTTTGTACTTCAGCAAACAATGTATGAAAATGACCTTTTCGTTGCCTTTCTTCGATGATTGGGTGTATCCACATTCTTCTATTCCTTTTTTTTTACTAATTTTCCAATACAAATACAGTAGCGATAAATACAATACGTCATCCATTCTGCAAATCGAATGGATCACTGCATAAACCGCTGAAGAAACAGCTCAGTGTGGATTACTAGAACCCGGCCGATTCGATTAACGCGTCGGTCAAAACAGCTCTGTTTGTCTTTACCCTACGTGCACTTCTCTCGGAACCGCACTAGCGTATACCTCTACAATACGCCTCAGCAGGCAATATGCCCCACAACGCTATCGCTCAAACAGACTAATATAGACAACGGGTTGGGACGCGCATGGAATCAAAATTGTACCTCTCCGACTTGACTGCCGTGAGAGTGTGATTTTTCCATTTAATTTTAAATTATAGTAAAATCTTTAAATACGACCTTGAGACATATTGCGGTGAGTACTGTACAAATTATTGAATATAGTGACCTATTTTTTGTATCAAAATTACATTTAGGTCTATGCCGTCAATTGAAACAGTGATAGATAACCTACAATTTTACGTGTTGCACACAGTCATAAATCTTCCATGCCGGTCATGTTTACCCTGTGGCGTATTGTAATTGAAAATTTACAAAATGCCCCGGCTGTCATAGTTTAATATGGCCCAGTTTTACAGTCATATATTTTCTTTGTTTACGACCCAAATGCTATTCCAGAACACTTCATCTGATGCTCTAAAAGATCAAGATTTAGTAGTAAATGAACCTAATGAGGAAGATGTCATTTCCTATTGCAGAGAGATCAAAATCCTTTGGAGCAAGAAGATATCAATGCTTCAGAAGTACCATAGAGGTGTTCTGGCAAGTGATCATCAAAGGATTGACAAAGAAGACCCACATGCTAGTATAGAACTGTCGCAGCCAAATATAGTACCACTGGAGCCACCAATTCAAATAACGCCTCCGAAACGTCCGGATATACTCTGCGAATTTCCCGAAAAAGAAACGACGAAGATTTTGGCTAAAGTACACCCTGTACCGAAGCTACCTGTTTTGCAAGAGAAAACAGAAAGCTGTTATTTTGACGTCGCCAGAAAATATACAAAAACAGAAAATTATTGAAGAGAAGAAAAAACCTGCGGGAACTTCTAAAAAAATCATGGACATTTGAAAAAATGAAGCTTCAGAGAAACCAATTAAAATAAAAAACAAAGAAAATGCTAAAGCAAAGAAAAATAAACCAAAGCATGAATAATCAGAGAGTGAAAGTGATGAGGAAGAAAGCCGAAGTGGTTCGAATGAAGAAATATCATAAGAAAATGAAAACAGGTGTTAGGAATGCATAGATAATAATTATAAGACGACTTCTAAAGAAGATTGGATAGAGTGCCCATCTTGCTCTTTTTGGATACACGAGTTCGAAGCTATTAGAAGTAGAAAGAAGCGCCAACCATGAGAGAGATATGATGACTTTCAGGATGGATTAAAAAAATTGTTTCAACTTAATAGGTAATAGGTCTAGAATAGTACTTATGTTATTTTTTCAAAGTTTTGTTTTTTTATGCGAGAGAGAGTGGTATGATGACTCTTTCCGCTTTATGTAATTTTTTTTTTAGTTTTTTGCTTATTCTATGGGAGATATTATAAGCGATAATAAAGAATGTTTGTTGCTTTTTAAGGGTGTCTTTCATTTTATTATAAAAGGGCATTTTGTAGCAGAACTGAGGCATTTTGTCGAGCGATGTCAATACAAAACGCTGCACCTAAAGTTTAAAAAAAATACCCTGTACTCCATCGTAAAATATTTCATGGCAAATATAAGTGCTATAAGATTAACAAATGACCGCTCCTTTATTTATTCTGTAACACATCAGTAACAACTCTAACAGCTAGGATTTACTGAACTCTAAAAAAAAATTGTAGAGGTTTACCCTAAACTCCCTGCATCACTTTCAGACATACTAAAATTTTTTTTTTTAATTTTTTTTTTAATCAATCCTTTATTAGCAATCAGAAATTAACAATTCTATAAGCTAGTCTGCTGTCCATAGTACTGTTCACAGCACTAGTTGTGGCATGATGAAGTCCCATCCAGTGATGAGACCTCTTAAAACATCAAGTAGGTCTGCTGGCCAATATTTCTTAAGTCGTCTGCGGTTAGGGGGTTCTAATAGAGGTTGTAATGATGTATTACTGTGATTTTCCAGTTTTCTGTGGTGTTTCTTGCTCCTCTCTCGAATCACATCTTTCACCTATGGAACATTGAGATCTCTGTGGATAGTGTCATTGGTCACATACCAAGGGGCAACAGTTATCATACGGAGTACTTTCGATTGACTCCTCTGGATTATCTGAATATTAGATTTACTTGCGCAGCCCCATAGTTCTGCTCCATATGCCCATATTGGCTTGATGATGGTGTTAAATACCAGAAGCTTATTTGACAGAGATAATTTGGATCTTCTCCCAAGCAGCCAGGATAATTCCTTCACACGCAAGTCTATTTGTTTTCTTTTTTTAATGATATGTTGTTTCCACGTCAGTTTGACAAATATATTTATGACCTGACAGTTCTACAAAACAAAGTGATTCATGTAGAGCCACCAAGAACCCAGAAAGGCCCGATCCAATGTATGAGGTGCCAGCAGTATGGTCATACAAAAACCTATTGTAAGAGACCATTTGTCTGCATTAAGTGTGGAGGGCCACACAGCACGTCCAGTTGTAAGAAAATCAAAGATATCCCTGCCAAATGTGCACTATGTGATGGTCCACATCCGGCCAATTATAAAGGATGCGAGTTCTACCAAAAACTGAAAAAGCCTAACAATCCTAACAACAGACTAAATCTTCAAAGAAACGGAACGACGAGAGCTGAATCTACTACAACGAACCAACCTACAGCAGCAATCCAGTCAACCCAAAGATCTTCACACGCGCAACCAAATATGAGTTATGCAGCAGCGACATCAGGATACCAAAACAACATCCAACAAGCAGAAGAACAGGCAATGTCCCTGAGCAAGTTTCTCCAAGAGTTCAAGGTGATGTTTGATCAGCTTATACAGCAAAACAGCATGATTTTAAACATGCTATCTACACTGCTGAATAAGATTCATTCAAGTTCTTGAAAGTTGCATTGTGGAATGCCAACGGTCTTCTGCAGCACAAAGAAGAAGTAAAATTGTTTCTTGAGCAAAATAGGGTGGATATTCTTCTGGTGAGTGAAACACGATTTACTGATAAGTCTTATTTCAATATTCCACATTACATAACCTATCATACCAATCACCCTGATAATACTGCGCATGCTGGAACAGCGATCATAATAAAGTCCAACATCAACCACTACGAGTTGCCAAAATTCGAGGAAGATTACCTGCAAGGTACAGCAATTAGTGTAAAAATGACATCTTATCAGTTAGCAGTCGCTGCAGTATACTGCCCACCCCGTCATAACAATAAGGAAGAAAATTTCGCAGAATTCTTCAAATCCCTATGCTCCAAGTTTATTGCCGGTGGTGATTACAATAGTAAACATACTCTCTGGGGATCACGTTTGATTACACCTAAAGGTAGAGAACTCGCCAAAATAATACAAAAAGGAAACTACCATTACCTGTCCACAGGATCGCCGACATATTGGCCCACAGATCCACAGAAAATACTAGATCTTCTTGATTTTTTCATTACTAATGGAGTATCCCACACGTATACGGATGTTTCACCAAGCTACGACCTCTCATCAGACCACTCCCCAATGATAGCAACTATAAGCTCTTCACCAAATGATCAATTTGGATGTGACTCTGAAGACACCACAGGATATCGATGCAGCCCTGTCAAACTTCATTGAAATATTAGTACAGGCAGCATCCCAATCTACGCGTCATCAAAGTTCTGAACAACAAAATGCTAGCATCCCGGAAAAAATAAAAAGGTTGATAGCTGTAAAAAGAAAAGCTAGAGCAGTATGGCAACGAACCCAGGCACCTACAGACAGAAGAAAGTACAACCAAGCTACTGAAAAGTTGAAGGGTGAGATCAAAAAACTCAATGATATTTCCATGCAAGAGTATATCACTAATCTTAATAGATTTGATAATTCGATCTGGAGACCGATAAAATCTTCGAATAAACCCAAAACACCAGTGTCGCCTTTACGAAGACAGACAGACAATGTTCCGCAACAATGGGCGCGTAGCGATAAAGAAAAAGCAGACTTATTTGCACAATACCTGGCTGATGTATTTACTCCTAATGACGATATACCGGATCAAGAAATAGTCGAACAGCTTACCAACTTACCATCCCATTACTCAGCAATCAAACTGCTCACCCCAAAACAAGTGAAAACTGAAATAAATAACCTATTTATCAAAAAAGCACCTGGTATTGATAAAATCACACCAAAAATCATGAAAGAACTACCAAACAACGCAATACTGATGTTAATGTATATATACAACGCAATCCTCAGACTCAGTTATTGGCCTGAACAACTGAAGACTGCAGATATTATACTTATACCAAAACCAGGGAAGGACCCAAAAATAACTTCATCCTATCGACCAATAAGCTTATTATCAATAGTCTCAAAGCTTCTGGAAAGATTACTGCTACGTAGGATTAATAACGATTTGCCAGAAAAAAAACTGGATCCCCAACCATCAGTTTGGATTTCGGAGTGAACACTCTACCATACAGCAATCACACAGAATGGTACAAACAATTAATTCAGCACTAGAAAATAAACAGTACTGCACATCAGTATTTTTGGATGTAAGTCAGGCGTTTGATAAAGTTTGGCATGATGGTCTGCTGTTTAAAATAAAAACTGTACTACCCATAAAATACTTCAACATCGAGTTTCCATCCTATCAAATCAGGAGTTCCCCAGGGCAGCGTTTTAGGACCAATGTTGTACACCTTGTTCACCGCAGATCTTCCTATTTCCCAAAATACAGTCACAGGAACATTTGCCGATGATACAGTAATCCTTGCCAGCAACAGCGATTCAACGTTAGCTTCGAATTCTCTACAAGATCATCTAGAAATGGTGGAAACATGGATGAAGAAATGGAAGATAAAAATTAATGAAAACAAGTCACAGCAAGTAACCTTCACACTACGGAAAGGGAACTGTTCACCAGTATATATTAATAACACAGCTGTTCCCCAGTCCATTTCAGCGAAATATCTTGGGCTCCATATGGATAGCAAACTGACGTGGAGACATACTAAATGGACATACACTTCTCGCCATATTTTTTGCCTCGCACCTTCTAGTGTGCAGGCTCTAGGGAACTCTATTTCTCGATCAACCTTCGTACACCGATAAGTAAGAAATCTTTTGAGTTAGAAAGAAATCCTTAATATTTATTGTGTCGAAACGACAAATTTGGAAATACATCAGATTAACGATTGAGAAAGGATCTGTTAAGTGGCATCACTTCGTGTGAGCTGGAACCCTCCCATGAAGCGGACCCTTGATCTCATTGGTTCTGCATTTTCTGAAACTCCATTATTTGCAAGCGTAAATCGTCGCTTAGATATCTACCATGACGTAGAGGGGCTTGTTTGTACATAATTAAGTGTTTTGGTAGTCAAACAGTTTTTGGGCAGCGCTACTATTTTGATTTTTATTCTTAGATATTTGTAAGTAATCAGTTATATCTATATATTTTCAAGATCTTTGGTTCACTTTTCTCTTGAAGTGTTTTTTTCCATCTTTATTTTGAAGTTCTCCCCCTCAAATCCGGAAAGGTTATGGGAAAAACTAATCAATAAACTGTTATTAATGCCTTCAGAAATAAGAAGATGGGACGAAGGAAGGTAGGTAATAGAAAAAAGTATGCGCCTGCAATTTTTGTGAATAAAAAAACTATGTATTTGTCTTAAATACAGGGTGTCCGCAAAGTTGGGGTTTTCCTTTACACGACTTGTAGATCTTGAAAACATAAGCAATTTTTCTTAGTACCATATACACCAATGTCTTAAGGGAACCGAGATAAAGGGCTCTGCAACATCAAAAACATCTGAATACCGTCCTGTAGCTGCGCCATCACGGAGTGGTACAATGTCACTGGCTCAACGACAGAACTGGGTCGGGGGTCGGGGTC